GTACAGGTAACAAAGGGGACTTCGTAAGTTTCTGGATTTTCAAGCGGGTATTCGTTCTCGCAAGGTTCAAACGGAGACCACGTGCCGAGGCCTGAGTATAAGAGCTGATCTGAGCGATGATGCTTGCTTGGGCTCTGCATATTCTTCCTGTAGGTTTGTCAGAGGAAAGAGTAAGTCGAGTTGACAGAAGTGCACCAACTAGCATACCAACACTTAAGACACCCAGTAAGTTAATCGCTAACAGTATTGAAGAAAATGAAACAACGAATGAAACATGGGGTGTGCATGAGAAATGCGACGAAAAGCTGAAGAACGTCTGTGTGCAAACGACGGCGAGCGGCCAGTTCGCTCAGCAAACAGTAGGACCGGCTGGCAGAACGGCAGACGAACGACTCGAACGGATGCCGAACGACAATTCTACTTCAAGTGCAATGGCTAGTTTCGATGAAGGTGGACGGTGGACAGGAAAGAATGTGCAAAAAGTTTGCTGTTTTTTACAAAATTCGTAGCTCTTTAACAAGTATGAACATTCAGAAGAAAAACTTAAGAAAATTACTAGGCTGTGAAAAACCGTGATGGGATAATTTGCTTTCTATTCGATGAAAAAAATTCAAGTGCTAATGAAATCACCCCTTTCATTTTTTATAGCTCCTTAGTCATACAACAAGTGCTGGTGTATGATTCTAGTTCTAGATTCTAAGTATCCTTTTGATAGCCAAAATGTATTCGTACCAATCAGAGTTTAGTTGTTCGCAATGTCTTAGTTTAAGGGGCGAAATATGGATGAAAGCGATATCAGTTGAGCTCAGCAGCTGCTATGTCTTTTATGCTTTTTCCGCGATTCATATAGCCCAGTCACAGCCTTGAGAATAATTTTGAAACTGCAACAAGTTCTGCATGATTAGCTTAGCTGCGAAATCAGTCTCAACGTCTCAACTCATGATTACAATTTTTTGCACATTAAACTTTGCCGTAAAATTTTACGCCTTATTTTCAGAGAAGCCACCGATTTTGTTCTTCTCTTTATTTCAAATCAGGGAGCTAAGAAATTTGTGATGGGAAACAATGACAGAACCGTGAAAAACCTATGAAAATCAGTGGTGTTGGATTCGCTTTAGAAATTGGTGCCCGACTTTTTGCGCAGTTGGCAAAGCTTTGGGAAGTAGGTGTCTGCGAATTGGGGAAAACCATTGCTGCTCAAAAAAGCACTTTCGATACATGAAAGCTCATACTTGATCCTCGTCAGTATTTACAAAAATGCTCACCAATGCAAGCAAGAACAATACTAAAGACTTCCAACTACCTTTGACAATTCAGAATAGAGTTTCCATTATCTGAGGCTTCTTTTCAATTAATCCAAGCATGGTGAACAGGACTTGACGTTTCTGTCATTTTACGTTGATAACAACTGAGAGTTATGCAAGACACCCTTCTTACTCCCAGTACTTCTATACCCGTCATCCTTCAAGAAAGACCCCATTTACCATATATTGGAGTTAAAATTGCGAAAAGGAATTTTTCCGGGCCCTTCCCACCTGCCAACGGTTGACTAGCAATGGAAAAACGGATGTAGTTTTGTTCATCTGATAAGCGCGCTCCAATTACAAATCACTTGCTCGCGAGAGGTGCCCGGAGAGACTCTTTCACAGATACAGCAATATGCCGTTTCATGAATCGCA